CAATTTGGTTCAGGAACATATTATTCTGTTTAAGTACAAGATCCATGTTTGTAAAAAAACAGAAACAATCAACGAAACAGCCATTGTATAACCATTAAGGTCCAGCCGGAAGACAAAAGCCGCCCGTAGCTGTATCGTGCATTCATTCCCGGTCTCTTTGGCGCAAAAACATAAGCATTGACCTGGCAGTGTTTTGACAGTCAAGTGGTGAACCTTTGGTTCATTTCCCGGCTACGCCCTTCCTGCTAACTACGAACTTTGTAACAATTGACACTTACGGCTGATGATACTGGAGGACAATGATATGTTGTCGTCTGCTGGCCTCACTGTTACGGTGGTTGTGTTGCTAGGCAACTCCTGTCTCAGAGTGTCGGCTGTCTTGTTTATGATGCATGCCACGTATTCTGTAACTAAAATGGTTTTAAAAAAACTTCATTTTTTATTATTGACACACGTACGATGACAAAGGGCGACACCATCGCATTGTCATACTCCATCGTCGTACTGTTGCGCTTTGTAATCGTACCGTGTCATACTTTGCATTTTTCGCTCACAGAGAAAACGTGCTGGCCCTAACGGAACACCGTAGTATAAAAATAACAAGACATCGTGCTGTTGTGTTGTAACCATCGTGCTGTCGTGTTGTAACCATCGTACTTTCGTATTGTAAGCACCGTACTGTGGTACTTCCACCATCGTACTGTGGTACTTCCACCATCGTACTGTCGCTCTCTTATAGATCTACTTATTCAAATTTCTGACCAAACTTAAAATAATAGATTTTGGAATCTTTTATAATTTGAAATTATTAATGAAATTTTAAATAAACTACATATATTTACCAAGTCTGTCGTCTGCTATGGTCTTTCGTTTGCAATGATCTCTGTCTCTGTTGTATTTTCTGTATCAACAACATCGTCTGGAAAATAATGTGCTAGAGAATATGTTTCTTACTGTTAAAACATTTTCAATGTTCCTTAGGGCCTACTTGTAAAACATGTAACTTGCCACGCATGATATTTTAAATGGATCGGTTTAATAACTTTCACTCTGAACAATAAAAAATCATAACTTTAAATTTCAAAATAGATCTAGTCTTATAATTATATTTAAGAAATAATATATCCCAAACTGTGATTTTATCGCTCAATAACATCACTGTTTGGAGTTCGGATGCGAGGAATTATATCACGAGGGTGTAGTCCGAGTGATATAATGATGCGCATCCGAACGGCAAACAGTGATGTTATCCAGCGATAAAATCACCGATTTGGATATATTATTTCGATTCTAACACGACATAAACAAATAAATGCTGCCGAACCTGCTATTAAGCAAAATTGCGCCTGATTTGTTTCCGTATTGTCAGCGCGTCGGATCATTGTATACGCACCGGTCTCAAATATCGACAGTAAAGACCGGTGTACACAATGGCGTCGGATTTTATAGTGGTTACGTCACATGTATAATGATTACGTCACATGTCTAAATATAGATCGTCAAACAGTGACTCTATTGCATATTCTAACACGACCCGCATTTTTCTCTATTGAACATAGATGAACCGAAAGTGTGTGTTATTATGCTATAAAATCACTGTTTGACGTTCTATATTTAGACAAGTGACGTAATCATTATACACGTGACGTAACCACTAAAAAAGTGACGCGCTGACAATAAGTACGGAAAAAAATCAGGCGCAATTTAGCTTAATATCAGGTACGGCAGCATTTATTTTGTTGATGTCGTGTTAGAATCGAAATAATATATCCAACTCGGACAGGCATGCCACGACGCTCCATTTTTTGGCTTTAACGTCGACGAAGTCATGGATGCGGCGACCATGTTATTGTTCTTAGGTACAGATTAACATTTCATTGAATTCCACTGTTATATGTTCGGTTTTAAGCATATGGTATATCTCTTCACGTTTTAACACATTGAGTAATTCCTTTATTGACCTAAAGTAAATAATATACTTTGAACATGGTCAACGTTATTATATATATACATAATAACATATCATGATTCAATCACATTCGGTCGCTTGTTCTCCATGTGCAGTAACATTATTACCATAACGTATTTTTATCACGTAACCAAGATATATAGGCGTTATTCAAATAAAAATGTTAAAGCTACAAATGCGCCAATGAAAAAAAAAAGTTTTTAGTGATGTATGCCTTTTGTGATGGAATATGCTATACATGTATATCAGACTAAGAAATGAGAAAATTGGAATATTTTAACGAATGCGAAGTGATATACGTATAGCATATTCGCTCAAAACAAATAAGTTTCTTTATAATGCCTAATAAGTAAATGAAGGCACGTTCGACTGTTTTCATTGAAGCATGAGAAACAGAAGCACATGAGACTTTCGAATGTGAACACCAACTTACGCTGACATTTATACCGTTATACTGGATGATCAGGAAACCTTTATACGCGAGTGTGGATGCTAGAGGACACGGTGCAAAACTTTTCTGTTGCAGACTCCCTCCACTATACAATATATGCTGCAGGATATACCGACAGAACTTTATCCAAATGTAAACAGGTGCCTGCATTTGCTTCTACTTACGGTAGCGCTGGACGTTTAATCAGCAGCGTAAGAAGGCTATAAATACTTTCTTGCGCGCATCAATGACCGCTGGTCGCCTATCCGGTTTAGGCTTTTGCACATCCACAGAGGCAGGGTGGTCAAGACTGACGTCGTTGAAGATACATTTGCACGACGAAAGAATCGCCATTTGACACGTTCATTTGCTGACAGCGTCATTTGTTTGCGTCTTTTTATGCAAAGTATATTCTTAGTTATATAAAGATGACTAAAAACCTGGAAATATTGTTATTTAATCTATCAATTATATTTAAGTTCTGTTCTGTTCTAATTATATATAAGATGTTCACCAAATCGCATGTCATACTACTAGTATTGCATAAAAATTATTGATCCTACTAACTAAAATTTCTTTCTTTATTGACCTCAAATTGACACGGAAATGCATAATTTAAGTAACCCTAAATGGTAAAAATCGAGGAGCTTCCGGGGGCTTCGCCCTACTAACTAAAAGTTCTTTCTTTATTGACCTCAAATTGACACGGAAATGCATAATTTAAGTAACCCTAAATGGTAAAAATCGAGGAGCTTCCGGGGGCTTCGTCGTTTGAAACGCATAGCAAATTGTAATGTGGTGAAATGTTATTGTTGCGAATCGTAACATTACCCCACAGGTACCACATCCCCGTAGCCATACATGTGCTAGTATGCAATAGAAGTGTCAAGTGGAAGATTGACCTATAGACTATTGCATGCATTTGAAGCTGTTTTTGCCAACGTCACTTTTTTCATAATTGAAGCCTTGTGAGCAACTAGTTATGATTGATAATATAATTCCATGCTGTCATCAATAATGGTTTAGGATACTCATGTGCACATGAAACTTATTGTTCAAATTTACTTTAAATTTATTGTAAACTTGATGTAAACATTTCTTACAATTTCAGATGTATAGAAAGGCAGTATTTATTGTATTCAATGTATTCATCATATCAGGATAATGAAAAGCAACAACAACAAAAATGGTCGTATAGACTGTTAACATAATCTTCATTGTTTTACTCACTTAATGATTTTAATGATTATGAATGTCAATGTTAATTTGTTGATATCACATCAGAGTTTTTTTGTTTTTTTTTGTTGTTGTTCACTGAATACACTCGCGTTACTTCAGACAGTGAGAAATAGTGAAACATTCGACCGATGCGCAGGAGAGTTAAAAGTCATCTGCTGTTAAGTCATGGTTCTGGTGAATAATGTGCACAGGGCATTTCAGCTGAAAATTAATTAAATGGCAAGTTTTTACAATTTGTGTATCATAATTATGACATAAAGAATTACTTTAGTCAAAGAAATTCAAACATTTTTTCACTGAATCGAGGGAAAAACTTGCTTCATTATTGTTGTTGTGGCGTTCGTTTTTACCGTGGAAACCAAGACACGGTTTCATTGGCTACTTTAAGGACATTATCTGATTGGATAAGGCTAACAGGTGCTCGACTGCTTTTAATTTTGCGTTCATTATCTGGTTGTTTGGAATATTTTATTTACGGCGCAGTCCTTTGGACAGAAAAATCTGATTGGGAACCATAACAGGACAGGGAAACAGATTAGACCATTTCAAACATTCGGAACAACTCAGGCGTCATCAATAGCTTATTCACAATGCGATATTTCATTAGAAACGGAAGTTGCATTCCGTGCATCGCGAAAACAATGTATACCAGCAGTTGGTTTATATAAACCCTTTCTTGTACATTTTAATTAAAACAGCAGGGTTTAGTTGATAAAAATATATAACCTGTTGAATTACGTATATGTTAGTGTTTATTTAGTGAAATTTTAACAATTAAGAAACACAAAAGAAAGAGACCGGTAGTGAACGACCGTGGTTCGGGTTATCTGAAAACCATAGGTGTTCGGCGCGTTGATTGGTCACAACCACCTCCACCCGAACAACCCTCTTACCTCTCAAAACCTGTAAACTGCAGTATTTTTTATTTGAAACATGCTTTAACTTTTGGTATATGCTTTTAATTCAATTTCTTTCATTTCCCACAAAAAGAATAAAATTTGATACATATATAATTATTTAGTAAAGGTATGCAACTCGCCGCTCATTTTTTCAGCACTCATCTTAATATGAACGCCATAACTCCAACATTTTTTCACCAATTTTCAAAATCTTGGTACCAAATGGTAGGCATAAGATAAAATGAAACCTGTTCAGGCGAGAGGCATATTTTCTTAATAAATTACAAATGTGAAACTTTGCCGAGTTGTTCCTTCTTCGTAGTTGAAGGGAAAGCATATAAGACAGTAATGCCGCATTGAATTTGCTTTCCTGTTCCATACATTGACCAATAAGGTTTAGAGCTGTCTCCCTGTGACCAATGTTTCTGCCAGACATGGTAGTATTAATAAGGTTACTAAGTGCTCATTGTTGATCCTGGTGTCTTTGTAGATGTCCATATGTCTTGTACTGTAAAAAATAGAGAAAAGGGAGAGAATCAACCACTGCAAAATTCATCCACTGTTTTTCCGTAACACTTCTGTGTTGCATGTCATCTTGTGAAGATCTTATCATTTCATATTGCAACTCTCGAGGAACACAGTTGATCTCCTTTTGCATGAATCTGACACAAAATGATGTGATTCGATTGATGGAATCTTCGTTTTGTTCGTAACATTTTCTGTTAAATTTGTCAGACCGATTAGAAATTGGATGAGCCCAGCAACCACATACAGGTTCAACAATATCACAGTTGTATCGACTTTCAGTTTGTCTTAGAATGATCTCCACATCATCCAAAAAGCCAATACAATACAACACTGACGCTAGTTTAAGTCTGCCGGATGTTACATCCGAGTTTAGACCAAGTGATAGCCATTTTAGTGCGTTATATTGAACGGCAGTATTCTGTTGAATATTTGATGACACCATCATAGATCCAAGGGTAGAATAAAGAAACGGCAACTGATAACGGCTTGCAAGCTGTTCTAGTCTGTGTCCATGAACACTATAGTTTGCTAGCTTTGAGATACATTGTTTGAGATTAACTATACTACCATTTGAAATGAAATTTAAAAACCCTATTGTGCTTCCGCTAATATGTCTTGCTATGCTGATAAATAACAAACCCGAAAGTTCATTTATGTCACGAACAGTAGATATGTCACGAACAGTAGACACACCATGAGGTATTGCACGATTTGTAAGAAGTTTGACCTGTAATCGATAACCGATATCATCAATACTTATTCCAAGCAAACATTTACCATCACTCTGTATTATGTCACTAATCTTCCATAAAAGGTAACGTTTGTCTACAGGCGTAAACTGTCTGGACATCAGGTTGTTTTCTGGAATTATAAAATGCGGGCAATTTCCATTTTGAATATAGCATAGCAGTTCAAGCAAGCAATATGTTAAACATGTGAACAGATTGTTCTTTCTCCAAATGGTTCGGTCGGCGTTTTGTATACAATGTAAAACTACCGTTTTACACATAAAACTAGACAAAGAACTTTCTCTTTGAGGTGTTAGGAAAGATTTCAAAATAAATTTCATCAAAACATAAGAATGTAATTGTGTAATGTTTAGATTGAACATGAAGCATCTTTCCCCAAATGATGTAGATATTCTCCATTCTAGTTCCGGGTAAGTACTAATCTTACTGCTAGCACCAACAACAAAACAACCATTACTAACAGCATATCTGATCATTTCTGATGTTGGCCATCCCCCTATTCTATGTCTTTCTTGTAAATGTGAAGCTGACTGTTGCCATGAATTACAGGGAAACGCAAGTACCGTATCAAAGGCTTTGTATTTTCCTTTCTTGGGCCTAGCAATAGATGGACCGTGTCTCTCAGTACCTTCATGTATACCAGTGACACATGTATTTTTCAATAATATCCTCCCTTTGTTATCTCTGAAATAATCTGCGCAAATAATGTTTGTCTCAAAGAGAGGTTCATCAGATCGAAGTACCTGTAGAAAACAATATCCAGGTGTTACATCCTCATCCCGTATCATAAGAAGATTTTTTTTATTCTGTTTCCACTCTGACCAGTCCCGTATTACATTATAATCATGATCAAAATAGAGTATGTCAACATCTGAATCAAGTTCTAAAGTAGTTGTGCCTTCAGATTGACTCCCAAAACAATATACCGTCCGGTTCACATCTTTTGACCTCTTTGCCACAGTTAGAATATTCTCTATCAGCATGAAAGCCCTTCTTCTTTTCATTATCATTTTTTCATTGATACCAACATCCTCTAACACCTCAGATAACTTCAGTGACAATGTGTTACTATATTCAGGTGATTGAAACATATTGAAATGATAATAAATAGGCAAAATTGCCAGAATGAAAGACATAATACTTATTCAGATATTGTTGTATATATATAAAGAAAATGATTTCAAATACTCAGTGCTTTTGAAATAAGAATTATATATTTATTTATTTTTTTTATATTAAACTTTCATGAAAATGCAACATTAGAATTATATTTTGTCTAATTCATTTAGATAAAGATCAAGAATTATATCACGCGTTTGCTTTACATATGTATCACACTGGCAATGCAAATAATATCATGTTTAACGTTTTGAAACCATATTTTCATAAATTAAGCAATTAAACAGTTGTATTAAAGTAAAATAGTAAATAGAAAATAGTAAAATTATTGCGCAAGCTTTGTTGTGAAAACAAAGAGGTAAAATTACTATTTTTACACATTTGGGTTTGCTTTATTCATTTCTTGGACGAATAGCTCCATAGTTATTTATTGTTGATGTTTTTTTTGTATTGCATGTATATCAATATTGGACTACTTTTTTAAACAAATGTCCTGTCCAGTTCTCAAATTTGAAAAAACATGTATGTGATTATATAAAGAAAAATATTAAACTGCAGATTTATTTCTATTAACATACTTTCTTCAAGCTTAAATATGAAATTACTTAATAATATTTATTTATATTTTTTCAGATTTAAAAAGTATTTATAGAAATTTAACAAACTAAAAGAAAATGTCACGTTAAACCATTAATTTACGAAACGATTTCGAAACTAACCGAAAATAACTCTTTCAATAATGTGTAATTAAAATGTTTACTTGTTAAGTCCCTTGGTTCAGAGCGATGTTTCTTAATGGTTTTATATACAAAAATATATGAAATATGTGATATTATTTCCTTTTTATTTTCCTTTTCTTTGAGAAAACATCAAATAAATCAATAGATATTGCGCCAGAAAACCAAGTGCAATCTGATCGTCTAATATTAAACGTTGCGTTAACAATCAACGTTGTTTAAGAACTTTTTCAACAGGTTAAAGTAAATAATTGATTGATTTACGTACATTGTATATATACTGAACCAAAAAAGAAACTTTCGCAAAGTATATGCCAGTCGTCCAAGGGTACCACTCAGATGTACACACATATATACATGTAGTAGCTTGTAAAATTCGTTTTGTTTGCAAAATCGGTCAGCTAATCCCCGTTTAAAAGCCCGATATGTTTATTCAACGTAAAAATCGAGTCTCAAAGGGATTGTAAAACTGTACTAACATATCTACATTCAAACTTGGGGAAAGTTTCTTTTTTGTTTCAGTATATATTGTAAAACTGTTTTCCTTTAAGTCTCATTTTATCTTTATTTGGCAGTTATCCTACCCTACATACATCTTCTTTTAACGAAAGTATTATTTAAACGGTATAAGATTAATACCTTTTTCTCTGTCTGTGTGTGTGTGTGTGTGTGTGTGTGTGTGTGTGTGTGTGTGTGTGTGTGTTGTTTGTTTGTTTGTTTGTTTGTTTTCAACATAATTTTTTGTAAGCGTTGACTGTTTGCGACAATCAGTAGCAAGCGTCCAATTTTAACATTTAGTTATACAATTAAGAAAGTATCATCTCGCAATTATGTTTGATATTTTACATTGTATTTTTTTCTTCTGAATTTTCAGCAAAATGTAAAAACTGACAGAAGTAGAAGTGAGATGACTGCAGAATGACTGTGGATTTTAAACACAGTTAAACAACAAGATCAAAACTTACTTTGTTTTTAACACGATATAATGTCGAAAATTGTCGTATTCTGGTTTTAAAAGTTGTACCATTTAAATACTAATACTACTTCTGAATATCATTTCGCTCGGTCGTGGAGGAAACGTTTAAGGTTATATTTATGAGCGTTAAGGCACAGACACTTGGGGTTTGGAGCTCAAAACGCCTTTAAAATCCAAATAAAATGCATATTTGTCAATCCCAGCACATGTACTGATCATATATATCAAAAAAACTTAATGTAAGCCGTTTTGAAAAAAAATCATATTTCAACAACTATAATAATACACAAGATAAAAATGTTCGCCGGAAAAAATCCGCACCCCTACCGTCATAATCACCATGTATTTTAATCCATTTCCAATATTTTCACATAATCCTTTGGTCCATCGACACAGAAGATATAATTCTTCACGATGATGGTCAATTTTAAACTTCAACGGTAATATAAACAATGCAACAGCCGAAATAAACATCAATATTATCGCCGTTTTTTTTCAACGACAAAATCTTTCGATAAATTCAATGGACCAGACGGCTATGAACGAAGCTATCCGATTATGTGGCCCCAGCTTTGCCGTGTGCAAAATGCGCAGCGCTTTTAAGTTTGGGAACCACATAATCGGATAACTTCGTTCATAGCCGTCTGGTCCATTGAATTTATCGAAAGATTTTGTCGTTGAAAAAAAACGGCGATAATATTGATGTTTATTTCGGCTGTTGCGTTGTTTATATTACCGTTGAAGTTTAAAATTGACCATCATCGTGAAGAATTATATCTTCTGTGTCGATGGACCAAAGGATTATGTGAAAATATTGGAAATGGATTAAAATACATGGTGATTATGACGGCAGGGGTGCGGATTTTTTCCGGCGAACATTTTTATCTTGTGTATTATTATAGATGTTGAAATATGATTTTTTTTCAAAACGGCTTATATTAAGTTTTTTTGATATATATGATCAGTACATGTGCTGGGATTGACAAATATGCATTTTATTTGGATTTTAAAGGCGTTTTGAGCTCCAAACCCCAAGTATCTGTGCGTTAAGGGTGTTGCTGAAAACGGCTTAAAAGTCCGAATGGGAATGAAGAGGTTTTCCACGATGATTATGTTGTTATATATAAAGTGAAATACTATGATTTCTGATAATTTTCGTTTGTCACAAAATTTTGGCCACAATTTTGGTACTTTTGATTCACATCTCATAAAAACCTGTAGAGGCTTTAAAAGGCATAAGGGTTATCCTAATTCAATCAATTAAATTTAACCCTGTTGAAAGTTGTTTTTAAACGAATTTTGAACAATTTACAAGTTACAAATTGACCATTATCCGTTATTCAATGACCAACCTACGGATGAAAAAAGACTCCACCCCCCCCCACCCCCGTTGAAAACTGATCAACTTTAGACAGGCCATTCTTCAACATTTATAAGTTATCAATATAATATTGTCATACATGCCTTATATATGGTCATGCACATGGAACGTAATATTTCTGTGCACTTTTTTAGATTTTTAAGTGATGAAAATCTATTCATTTTATTTAAGTTGACCTGGAGCTAATAACATTTTGTCAATCTATCGGTAATAACCGATAATGGACAGCTATATGGCATTTGTGTAGTGAACTTAAATATCCCATTGCATGCAGAATAGTTCATGTATATGTTTTTCCTATCAAGGGAGTTTTCAAGTATAAATGTGACTACCTTCTACGGATATGAATCTTTAAAGGATCTTGTATTATACATGTTTATAATTATACGACCCAGTAATCGGCAATGTAGTAGTCACTTGCAAATAAATTTATGTGCTATCGGATTGAAATGTATAAATATGAGTGTTTCCATATACATATATATTATAATTGACATTTATCATCATTCTTTGTATATAACATACTCTTCTCATGATATTTGTTGCCGCCTAATATATTCATTTAGGCAAAAAACTGTATATAATGTTAATATGCCTAATAAAATATTGAATTGAAATTGAATTGAATTGCACAACGTTAAAACAATCTACCCCTCTTACAATGAGTATTTACTTAACGACTTTTTGTAGCCGTGTTATATTGCAATATCAATTCTCATAAATTTGGACCTTTCTAATACAGTACATTTTTTGCAATTTCTGTCTTGATCAGGGAGTATAATGTATCAGCAATCGTTACGGGTTACGTCCCCTGATCAGTACAGAAAATTTAAGAGGAAGTTTGGTTAAGCAGACACGCAAAACTCTTACTGATATTAGATAAGAAAATGTTGACTTTATACATGTATTTTGGGTTGAGTAGGATTAGAAAACAAGTCGTAAATTAAAGCGCACAACTTTTATTACCTGAATCATACCTTGGGTCTATATTGCGGCATTGTAAAACTATCGAATTTAAATCACGGGAAGATATTTATTTATTAATGGGTAAAGATCGGTTTATTTTTTACACAAAATATTGAGGATATAGTCGTTCTACACACAATGATAAGCGAATATTTCTTAAAACCAAGGCTAGCTATAGATACGTTTTCTACTGAATTTAACAGTTGATTGTATTTTCTGATCGTAAGATCAGTAAATACATAGCTAACATCCACGGTCTAACACAAAATTTTCTTACAGTCCTAACAACGCAAAGTAGTTCTCACTCAAAACTGCTTAAAACCAGCAATTTAAAAGAAAGAATAACTTTTAATGTAGGCATTTAACAAATTACAGTGCATTAAAAGTTTAGATTAGTCAATAGAAATATGAGGTTACAATCACAAATTTCGCGGATGAATATCTTTTTTACCCAATGAAAAATGTTCGGCTATTTCCGTAAAGCTTCGGATTATCATGAATATCATCTTAATCAATGAAAATGCTATTTTTAGCTATGTCGATTAATGAATACTCCAGAGCGTAGTACACAAATAAATCTGACTGTCGAGTAGTGGAATATATACATGTCGGACTGTTTTGGCGAGAAGATTTTCGCTAAATTATTTTCATCAGTGTTAAACAACAGGTTTATCGTGAACAAAATACCTCGAAATTAATAAGGATTGCAAACACGAAATGGAAATTCTCAATTTAGAATTACATAATGTATTCGTTTTTATTCAAGGTACATATGTATTACTTCGCCGTGGTGCAGAGTTAAGCGGTCTCGTTGAGGGTGTGAGAGGCCTATGGTTCAAATCCTAGTAGAGGCAATTCTATTTTTTTTTCATGCAAAATTCCATATGTATCAATCTCAAACTTTTATAGAAGAAAATCAAAACGCTGTCGCTGCGTAAGATGAATTATAGTATATAAAAATAAACTTATACAGGAAAGTACATACAGATAGTCAGTATGATTTAGATTGCAAAGATCAGAAAATACCATAGAGCTGCAGCCCTTTGATTATACTAGTTCGTAAAATGACAATTATCATGAGTTTGAAAAGATGCTTCCTGTATGGAAGTCTAATGTGCATGTCGGAGTCAGACTACAAAGACCCATCTATTGGAAATCATGGTCTTAAACTTTCGTAAAACAGTTAAACATCCAGCATACATCTTATCTTGCCTTTCTCACCGAAGCATTTCGCACGGCCCAGTGCCTGGCTATGCTATGCTAGTGAAATAGTTTCTATGACACCTATGAGAGATTCTGTTTACTAAGCGTTTCTCTAATATAAACAGATGTTTAACTTAATTTTACTTACCGTTGAAATTGATCCTAATTTTATCAAAATTTAATAAAGACTCATTTCCAACAACTTTTTGATCACAATTTAATTTTAAATTGTTGGCAATGTTGAAAAATGACAATGATTAATTTCATCTTAAGGTTGTTGGGGTTTTTTCTCATATAAAGTCATAAAAACGTTATTTTACATATCATGTCATCTGAAAGCAAAATATTTAGCAAATCATCCATATATTAATTACGGTGTTCATCGTTATAAGTCATTATAAGGCTGTAATCGACGTAAAAACGTAACAATTGAAACCTTTACAAAAATATCAATTAAAACTGATCTAACCTTAAAACTGATGAAATTATATAATTGTACAATTTAACAGAAATGGTAGAAGACAAAAGTTAAAAAGTACATTAAGTACAAGAGAGTTATTTTATTATTAATGACTTACCTTAAATTGTACTTGTAGTATGTTTTCCTTCTCACTAAAATTATTGCACAACCGTCGTTGTCAAAACTAAAACTTAAAACTCCCTAGTTTTATTGGTACTATAAATTACGATTTGTAAACCAAGGAAACGTAACTCTTTACATAATACATGACTACTTAGGTTTTTATTAAGTCCCTTTTTTACACTTTCAATTATTCTATGCAATATTCTCGGTTGACAGTTTGCTTCCTTGTCATTTCTACTTGTTTTTGATTAAATGTGGTTTGATCCCTTTCGGAAAGTAGTCAATGGTAAATGAGGGTCTATCCTCTGTAACACCGCAAAACGTCCGTACCGCAAAACGTACGCGTGTGGACGTTTTGCGGCGCATACCGTACACATGTGGACGTTTTGCGGTGCATATCATACTTGGTACGCTTTGCGGCGAGAGTGTGCCTTTGCGTCGCATATCGTCCATATTTTCTGTATTAAAATATATTCATTATAAACGTTACTTGTATTGGTTCTGTCAGTTTCATATTGTTTCAGGTAAAGATATGACGAAATAAACATTAAAGTGCGATATTTTTGTGATCCTATATAATTCTGACTTTTTTATATAAAAAAAGAAAAGAAATATGCTTAAACCGAGGATGTTTTTCGAATAGATCTTTTTATGGAATGGAACAAAGCAGCAGCAGCAGCAGCAGAGATAAAAAACGATGATATTGAAATAAATGTAATCTTATAGACATACAGAAAAGGACGGCTATACGGACGGACGAAACGGGGATTGGACTGAGTGAATGACAAAAATATTAAAATTAAGCTTTGCTTTGACAAAAGCTTTTCATATAATTGTATCAAGTAGTGGGAATGATTTTTTGTGTTCTTGTTGACTATGGAGGTTTGGTTCTACCGTTCATTTTAGGGGGGATGGATTGGGGCTTTTGATAGCGTAGTCATATTTGAGCGAGAGAGCTATATTTTCAGGAGATGGGGCCTTTAAGTCGTCTAGTCATAATTGAGCAAGAGAGCTTTTGTCGGGGGATGGGGTTAATGAGAGAGAGAGAGACAGAGAGACAGAGAGAGACAGAGGGAGAGAGAGAGAGGGAGAGAGACAGAGAGAGAGAGAGACAGAGAGAGAGAAAGCTTTTGTCGAGCGAGGGAGATTTTAGCGGCCTTGTCATATCTGAGTGAGAGAGCTATTGTTGTGATGGGGGAGGGGCTTTAGCCGCCTAGTCATATTTGAGCAAGAGTGCAAATCGTTTTGTTTGAATTCCATAATGTAATTTTATAATTGAACAATGTAATTTTATAATTGAACAAAGCAAAAAGGTCATAGTGGCCTTATATCGCCCACCTGCCTATAAAGGCATTGAATATTACAAATAAAAAGAGAGTACATTTCATGTACTTGGTCAGAATCTGCATGGGTAACTGATATCAGTACTCAATTCTACGTCTGAAATGGTCATCAATATCCAAATATCTGTAAATGACAAAGATGTGGTAATTTAAGCAAAATTCAATAGTAACCTTGAGGTCAAGGTCATTTCAAGGTCAATATTATAGTTGAACTATTCAAGATGTCCGTCCTGTCATAAATGTATGAATGACATCTGATCATTGATAACAAAGAAATGGCAGAATATCACAATTCAATAATTTGACTTTAAAATATGTCTTTATTTTTATTATTCAAAGGCAAATAACTCTTGACATATTCAGTCGTTTTAGCTCATAAATGAACTTGATCGAGACCTTATTGTTATACATATTCTGTATAAAAAATTTAAGAATGGAGAAGAAACGAAAGCACTAACAAGGTGAAATATAGTGCGTTTTTTGTTGTTGTTGTTGTTGTTGTTGTTGTTTTTTAGATTTAGCCTATAATCTAACTTTGTTGAGATTTTATGGTCATAGATATTCTGTTGAAAATTGTCAAGATTGAAGAAGAAATGAAAGCGTTGGAGTGATAACAATGTGAAATATAACAGATATTGTAATTCAAGGGCAGATAACTCTGCACATATTGCTTAGGGTATGTGGATGCTAGAGTGGTAACAAGCTAAATTTGGACGGACAGACAGACAGGCGCATACTCAGGTGAGCTAAAATTAACACACAATAATAACTGATAATAACTTGTCAAAATTAACGAAAATTATATAAACTTCAAAAATATGGACGTTATGCGGCAGGACCATGCCTTTTTGCCGCAAAATATACGTCAGAAAAATGTGGACGTCCATATACGTACGTTTTGCGGTACGGACGTTTTGCGGTGTTACAATCCTCCCTTTCAGGCACTAAATGAAGCTTTCACTGTCGAGTATGGACCCTGGACATATCACCAGTCATGTCCTTTAAGGGTTAATTTTTATGCACAAAGGTGATAATTTACCTCCATGCATTTTTTACGCGTAGTATTTGCAAAGATATAAATTTTGAGCAAAAAGTAGGTCACTTCACAGCGGCAAAGTTAAATTTCATTTAACCCGAGACAATATGGAATTGCCCTAGCTGTGAAAATGGCTATTTTGCAAGTAAATGGCATGCCCCCCAAGGCCATCACTGTCTATGCTAGGGGCTAATGTATCCTAATATACTTCCCCGTAAATCATCGTCGTCCCTGTCTATTCTGTAGGGCCATCCCCTTCGGCTTGAGTCAGGACTTCGGCAGCTGGTCCACATCGTAAAACGAATTTACCTAGGGGTTTCCCCTTGACTTTTTGCACATGTTACAATACATTAGTCTGACCTATTTAACAAAGATCATGCAAACGCTTATGTAAAATTAGCAACATGATACACCGGTCACAGATCATCTTTGACCGTAGACAAAAATAAGCACACATTTAATTAAATTCACAGACACTTGGGGTGTGGACCTCAAAACGTATTACTATCGATACAGACATTGAAATAAGATTTTTTTTTTCAAAACGGCTTATATTAAGTTTTTTGATACATGTGACCAGTACCTGTGCTGGGATTGGCATATATACATTTAATTTGGATTTTAAAGGCGTTTTGAGGTCCGCACCCAAAGTGTCTGTGAGCAAGTTTAGCAGGGTCTAACACATGTTCAAAATCTGTGTTAAGCCTCTATAGAGAATGCCTTAGTTTGATAAATCATTCCCTTTTCAATAGCATAAACGAGAATTAGGAAAGGCACAGACAACTTTCAAACCGTGGTTTTGATTTGGGTCATTCTCAATGAGCAATCCCGTCATTTGATAGCAAATAAAATACTGTGGTATGTTTCAATGGACTTTATTAGTAAAAACAAAATTCAGAAACATGTTTATGACAATAATATTTAAAGATATAAAATCGATGCCTGAGCAGAACATGGAAAGATGAAAATATGGGTAATAATAATAATAATAATAAAGAAAACCAAAAAAAACAAAGTAAAACAAAAGCACACAAAAATACAACAAACAACAAAACAAACATAGAAACAAAACACACACGCATGTAGTTTCTTTCTTCTTCTTGTAATCTGAAAAGTAAAAACAATTTCTTCAATATATCGAAAGTTAAGAGATTTCAGCTTCTGGCCTTAGCAAGTTCTCTAACTCTGTAATAATATTATGGAAGGAATACCTAAGTTTACCTATTTATGTTTCCAAATGTTTCAACAATGGATTTGATGAAAAAATCTGAATTTATTATCAAGTCTTACCTTAGTCACTTACAGGTGGAAGACCATCATCAGTGATGTCACATTCGGTAATGCCAAATGCTTCTGCAGATAAAAAGAAAGATTATGGTTTCGTTTCATAAATTCAGTGAAACAATGGCTCTTAAAAAATGCACGCCAGGGCTTTTGTTGAAATGATAATCCGACAGAAGTTCTTCTCTTTGTCGACTCGAGGTCTATTTTGTTTAATAATATATGAAAATTGGCGAAGTTAAACTACTGTATGGGTAAATAATTTAGTTTATCACAAAAATATTAAAAAGACATTCATACCTTTGAATTCTTTGACAGTTCTAGGAGCTCTAATAGCAGAGTGGTTGATGTCGGCATCTGTCACAATATTTAACAAGCTCTCCGTTACAGTCATATCAGCAATTTCTGTCAAGAAAATAATCATACCATGAACAGTATTATACGTGTACACTATAAAGTATTATACTCAGAATTAAAAACAAGAATTATCTTTACAGAAGATAATCGACCTTGGTTAACGTGTATCAACGTTGCCGTATACATGTCCGAAAAGTACCGTGAACAGGATGGCAAATAGTCCGTAAAGTTACCGGAAGTCAAGGTGAAAAGAAAACAGCCAACGGTCAAAAAAATGATGATTATAATAAAGTTTCCTTTTAAAAGGAAAGGCTTGCACAGTTGTGCCTTCATACCAACCCTTTAAAATTGTTTTTTTTTTGGTTTCAATTTATTATCACATTTTTTTTTGAATTACGGTATTTGTATATCATAAAGGATTTATTTAGTTGGGTTTTTTTTTTTGGAAAACCGAATATTTTTTGTCAAAACGATTTGAAATCTATTCTCTATTGTATAAAACTAATAAAGAAAATGATCAATCGTAAAAATACTAACGTGATACTGAAGGAAAACAAGTGTGCACATTTCATTTCCCCTTTTTCGCAGCGAAATCATTCCTTTGCTTTATAGACAAGTAAATGCACTAAAATACTTCGTTACGTGGTACCAATTAATAAGCATGTATCAACACAAATAGACGATGCGCTATCTGTAGATCAGCACGTGGCAAGGTTAATGATATGCATGGGCTATTTTTAGATTACCTCACCAAGAAGTTGAATTGCGTTCAGTAGATCTAAATATAACTCGATCATGCGTGATTTGGTAAGCAGGACCACCCTTTGAAGACGAAATACTACTACAGTCACCATTCTCTATTGTATAAAACTAATACAGACAAAAAACAATTATAAAAGAAACTAACTTTTGCGTCTTGAAAACAATTGAAACGGAACAATTTCGTTTATAATTTATTACGGTTTAAACCGATAAATCAAGTAAAAATAGAAATCCTATTTATATAAACAAACTGGGATTACCGAAGTAACTAAAATAGCTTAGATTTCCGTAATATTACTTCGTCTGATTCCGCAGTATGACGGAATCGCCCGAATTGTTACGATTGCAATCGGAACTACATCGGCTATTGTCATTAATCCGAAGAGTGACGGAAAAGGCCAAAAAGTTGCGATTGGCACGATTGCAGCTGGTTTCCCGTTCAATCATGCACCAACAGATGTAAGCACGAAACCACCTAACCGGAACAAGTTTTCCAAATGAAATGGCTTGCAGCCGTGGCTGCAAGCCAAAAATAAGTAAAGCTGCAAAATTACGCCTCATTCGATCAGTTTCATATAAGGAATATACTTTATACTGCATAATGCCGAACAAAAACAGATTGATTTCACAGACAACATCAGCAGACACTGTTAGAACTTGTGGAGACGTCGGTCTGGAATAAGTTGAATAAAATGCCAAGAAATTCCTAGTCTTGTTATCAAACAGAAATGAGCCCTCATAAAGTAACCTAAGAAAGATTTCATAAGTAACAATGATTTAACAATGATACAATTACCGTATAACGGTACAATCTTAATTAACAGCACTGTGTTTATATATGTCATAAATATCTATGGCAAATGTAGAATATACATGTATGTTAAACACATTATTTTATTCTGGTCAATTTTACCCACGCCCTATTCGGAAAAAAACGCTATTAAAGACCCTGCCATGCGGAGACTGTCAGGTTAAAAGCCGCTACTGCAGTATGGTTTGCAATAATTCCCGGAAATTTTGGCGGCAAAATACAACCTTCGCATTTACATAAGATGCTTCCTGTATGGAAGTCTAAGTGCATGTCGGAGCCAGACTACATTGACCCATCTTAAAATGAAAATGAAAAATCAGCTATCCTATGCCCTTGATCGGGAATAAGGAACGTGGTTATAAATGACCAATTCAATCACTTACGGCTGATGATGCTAGAGGACAAAGATATGTTGTCGTCCGCTGGCCTCAGTGTAACGATCTTTGTGTTGCACGGCAACTCCTGTCTCAAAGTGTCGGCTGCCTTGTCTATGATGCATGCCACGTACTCTTCAACTTAAAATAATGTTTAATTTCGTAGCACTTTATTTAATATAATTAAGACATTGTGTTACACAACGAGAAATCTTAAAAAGAAGAATGTGATTTGTTGTTGTCGCCTTACATATCTGAATGATCAGTATATTTTTGAATGTGACAATCGATTTTAAAGTACATGTACTTTCAATTTTTATATTCAATGTAACATTAAATAAAATATTTCAAAATCTGTATACACTTTACAGCCAATTAGATTGCGAGAAGACGCAGCAACGCCACTTGATGGATAACAAAACAGACTTTTTCAACTTTCTGGCGAAGTAAATATTTTTGGGACTGTTATTATCTGAACTTAAATGAAATTGTAAAAAATATTGAGAAAATACGTGTATTTACCAAGTTTGTCGTCTGCTGTGGTCTCTGTCACTGTTGCAATCTCATTATCTACAATATCTTCTGAAAAAGGAACGAGTTTTCAGATTGTTTTGCTATACTTTAACATTTTTATTATTTAGAATTTCACAGGAGTGGGGAAACAGACATACTAACATAAAGTTTTGAGTTATTGAAGATAGCTAGCCCATCTGTACTTCTGTACTTTGATTTTCGTTTCTTTTTGTTGTTATTGAATTCTTGTTCACAATAAAACTGTAGTTGCTTGAAAGAAATATACTGCAGTAAGAATATTTTTTAGAAAACATACAAACTAAATGACTATACCATTCTTAGACGGCAATTTTTGAGGAACGACTTTGTTTGACTTGCTGGCAATCTTACTGACGACCATGTCGGCATTACCTGTTTCATTTAATAGGGTTTCTGGGTCAAGAGTCTTGCCTCTTCTTGCATAATATCTTTGGCGCATGCGGTTTCGAAATCTTGCAAACTGTAAAATAGACAGTGTTTCTTTATTAGTAGTAAAATCATAAAGTATTAAGGTATTTTTTAATTTGCCAATTGTATTATTATTATTATAGTAATTATTATTATTATTAATATTTTGTATCATTATTATTACTACATTTATTTACTTATCTTTTATTTATTTATTTATTATTATTAGAAATCTATTATTATTATTATTATTATTATTATTATTATTATTATTATTATTATTATTATTATAAATTGATGTTTATCATCATTATCATCAATTAATTAATTTTCCAAAGTAAATTCTGAATTCCCTTTAAATGATCTCCAAGAAACAGTTGATTTAGTATCTCGATTTAATATCTTAATTATTTTTATTCTACTCACCCTTTCGTTGCAAGACTTCTTTAAACTTATGAGCCAAACGAAACAGCCTCGATTTTCACTAGCCATTAATTTTCCATGTTTTAATGGTTTAAAAACAACTTGTGTAATTTTCGGCTGCAATATGACGTTGCTAATGTGTAACGTCAACTTCTTTTGTGACGTCACAATATGCGTGTTTAAGCCTACCGTTATATTAAAACATCACCGAATGCTAGTTAGCAACGGAAGTCTAAGATTGGTCCCCTACGTATAGTAATTCTAAACATCTTAGAAAGAAACTTTAATAGCACAGGAAGCCAGATTACTGGAGTCAAACATTCGGATCACCTAGGGAACTTCGATAACTCTTTGTACTTCGTGACGTGAGGAAACAGTTTTGTTATTATATTTTTTTTATTATTATTATTATTATTATTATTATTATTATTATTATTATTATTATTGTTTATTATTAAAAATCATTATTATTATTCTTTTTTTTTTTTTTAATTATTATTTTTTGGAACATGGCGAAGCTACGGCAGGTCATTGCCAATGTTACATTTTAACGAAGTACGTTTAATCGTGTTAAATAAAAAGGGAGTTGGTAGTCATTAATGATTGGAGCAATAATGTATTCATTTCGTTTTGTCGTTTTCTATTGTTTTATTGTGGAATGGAATGTTTTTGTTTTGTTTTTGTTGTTTTTGTGTTGTTGTTGTTGTTTTGTTGTTGTTGTTGTTGTTGTTGTTGTTTTGCTGTTGTTGTTGTTTTTTGGGAGTGGGGAAGGATAGAGGTGGATGGGGTTATCATATTATTTATTTATTAATTTATTTATTTATTTAATTTATTATTTTTTATTTTTTTTTTTTTATTTATTTATTTATTTATTTATTTATTTATAAATTTATTTATTTGATAGTGTTGTATTTTACAACAAAATTCATTTATTAACTCAAGTATATTTTTCACTGACAAGAAATTTCAGGTAGTAATAGGTAACACTTATATAGGACTGTTTTTTTCTTACAGAACACGAGAATGGAAGGAGAGTCTTAAATCACTCGAAAAAAAAATGGTCGACATTGCAATGTGAAGTCTGACATTAATTTATTATCCTTATCTATTTCCAACGTCTTATTATGTAGAACAGGTTATCAGCCATGAATTTCCTAAAAATTATAAAACCTTAAAATGTACATTAATTAACACTACAGTACCTATGAAAAGTTATAGTCTTCTCTTTAACTTATCCAAAAAAAATGTGGCTCGTTTTACCCATTCTTAAGTCCTTAATGATATATAATGGGCTATATATAGAACTTTAATAGATGTACCATTATTTGTGCATACGTAAACACCGTCAAGCACCGCCCGTGTAGTTATATATTCGTGTACATGTGCTCACTTTCACATTTACGTACACATCATTATATATGTTAACATCGATGCAACCAACTGGAATACACGGGTAAAACGTTTCAAAGGTACTGTAAATCAATGTATTTTATATGTTAGTTTTAGTTATTTATGTGTGTTAACCTAGTTTTTCTTACAAAATAAACAAATGTCAATACACAGATTACGTAGCACGAGCGTAGATATGTTGATATCAGTATAGAAATTAGAAGGGGAGATTTAATTCTTTATCTATTAGTTTTAGCTGTAGCAAAATAAATGAAGATTAAAATACTGTGTTATATATATAAAGAGTGTTTACAATGTTCTTATTTCAGGCAAAGATTGTTTATTTATAAACGCGCCCTCTGCTTTAATATACATGTACAGTACTGTACAGTGTATTTTATATACATGTACAGTACATATAGGCCTACATGTATATTCTAATGTTACTTAATATATATTTGATCTAGATCTAATGTAACTTAATGTATATTTTATACAACATCGGGATATTTGCAAGCGTATAGGTATTCAAAACTGGATGTTAATAAATACACATATATACTTTATGTATTAACATATACTTTGATGTTATATGTGTGTGTTTTGCTCCACTGATTTGCTGTTTTCAAGCATTAGGCCTATGATATAAAATGTTTATGTATAAACTTAAAGTAGATTCGTGTTCATTAATATCGATGCAAATTTCTATTGAAAAAAATTGTTACACTGAATAAAGGTTTTCGACAATTTTACTCACTTATATAGGTTAGATATACTTACCATAAACAAAAAATGTATGTATAAAATGTCAAAGGACGTAGAAATTTCTTTAATGAATTTGTCCCCATCTTTCAATCTGGACAAGACCAGTAAATATCAAAATATGCACAGACTGAATAAGCTAACAGACAGTTCAATCAATGATTAGACGTGCACGGATGCACGTACCGGCTAATCTTTGTCTGCACTGGTCGCATGGGCAAAATATGTTACTGCCAGCAGGCTAGCAAAGGGTATCATAGAAAACGTGGTGATGGAAATAGTTGATTCTGTTATGTTGTGCACTATTATTAATATTTATAATTCAAAGTTAATATTTATACTTAATTCTTATAGATGTATAATTCCTTTCGTTAACTCGTCTGCATGAGAGCCACTTTAAACCTGACTCTATGGTGCTATTCTCAGAGCTAAAGAGATTTAACAATCTTGTAGAGTATCAAAAGGCGGAGCTGTCAAACTGATAAATATTTACGTAAAGGCCAAGGCCCTTTACATGTATGACATGTATGCAGTGGCGTAGTAAGAAGTCTAAGAACATTTGGAATATCTCTCAGATTACTAATTATGATAAACCGAAGTTTGACGGAAAGGACCGAAGAGTTGCCATTGGTCAAGGAATTGTCCTAGGTCGAAAAGAAAATTGTTGAGCACAGGAAATTATTATGAATTTCTTTTATCAAGTTAACCTATAAATCCAAATTTAGACGATTTAGAGATACCGCCTATACTATGGCTAGTGTAAATTAGATTTTATGGTAAATTCTCTAAGGGTCATCTCTTATTCTTAACTGACTTTGCCCAAGTATGGCGGATTTAAACAAAAACGCCTAATTTTAATGCGATAGAGACTGTAATGCGCATACATGTTTTCTTGACCATTTGGGGGAAATCATTCAAATCAATTTTACTTTTAGTAATGGGGGTCGAATACAGATTAAACCGGTGGGAGGGGGGTATATTATATGTTGCTCATTCCTTTCATATATGTCATGAACAGATTCATTAAAAACAACCGTGTCTGCCATTCTCAACATTTTGCTTTTGTTTTTATCGATCTTAAGAGAATCTCCTTTTTTCAGAATTTAGATACATCTGTTTTATGTATACGTCAAATGATACAGCCGACTTACTTGAGGGTCCTTCTGACATTCGTTATATGTTGACACGAGTTTACATTCCATTTAACTTTTTTTTTTGTCAGGTCAGTGTACCCTTTATTTTGAGCTACATATCAAATTAATTCCAGGTGGCAGGTGAACGTTGGACATACATGGTGTTCAAAGTAATGAATCTGCATTAAATTGTTCTTGTTTTTCCCCTATTTTCCAGCTAAAGAAATGATAGAGCAGGGATTATAAGACAACATTTTAACAGACAACCGAGGTTCAAGCACTTACTTTTACAATGGACCTGTTTACAGCCGTGGAGGCTTTCACACAGGTGATAACTTATGTGATGATAGTAGCTGGCATGTAAGTGTGTTTTTTTCTCTTTCTGTTGGTTTTTCAGTCACATAGGCACTTAAGAGCACCATCGCAGCAGAAAATGATCCCTTTAAGAACCTCGTCGTCGGCGTGATTTATCCGACTATATCTATATATACTAGCTTTGCTGCATTAAAAAATGAATACTTTAATGTAATGGAATAAGTTTCTAATTAAAAATGAGAACATTTTGTGTTTTCATACCAATGAAATCTCATTTTAATCGGCGTTGAAATTTGATTCGCGAATCTGCAACATTTTTATTTAAAAATAATACACAATGTAGCTATGACTTAAATTTTCGAAAAACTGTATGTCTTTTCAGACCGCCATGTATACGGATGTTACGTACTAAAATAACAACAGGTGTTCCGTACCCATTTTTCCTTGCAGGTTGTGTCAAGTAAGTACCGGTATATTCAAATGATATAATTTGGATCTAAAATCATTGTTGTTAAGTTGGAATGCTGAACTCGGCAACCCCGTCTGTATATCCTATATATATTCATCCTTAAACATACTTAATTATAAATTTACTTTTTATTTGAATGAACTTTTATACAGTAAAACTTGTTTTATTTAACTTGCTTCTATAAAAAGTTCCATTTAAATTGGCAAACTTTATATATTTAAAAGTCTTTCAGACTTTCTTAAATTCATAAACAGTAACCTCTGTTTTATTAGACAGATTTTTGAGTAAGAGTTGTTTCCCTTTACATTAAAATGATATTGCACGGGAAAATATCTGTGAAACTTGTTTTGTTTCTGCCTTGTAGAAATTTGAACTTTTATACTATATTTTTATTCGGTGCTCACGTGGTACATAATAATTTTACAGCTCTGTGATGGCGGTGGGGTATGGTACATTGACGGAAAATAAAACAGTTGTACAAATCAACGTGTTTGCCACCGCTTGTAACATTTTCTGTATAGTCTCATTTATATATTCTTCTCAACAAAAGGTATGTAATGTACAAACAATGACATGTATTATTATATAAAATTGTTCTTGAACAACAAAATTTGTATAAAATATATACATGTTTATTATATACTTATAAAATGAAATATTGAAAAATATTGATGAATTAAAATGTAAGCGCAAAGTCTAATTCTTATACATTGTATTTTAAATAATGACTTTGTCTATGAGAAAGTGTATACTTAGACAAGATGCATTGTTAATGCAAAAATTTTTGTACAAAGTTAAGATCAAATTCCATCTCTAATCGGATATATTATAAATCTGTCTTCGTATGCCACTGAGAACCCGAGTATTAAAGTTGCCTATATCATTTTGTTCTGTTTTTTCTTCTCCTTGTGTGTGTTTTTTCTCTTTATTTACTTTTGCATGAGTGTCATTTTCCTCTCGAGGAAGAAAATTATTTATAAAACAAAATTGTATAGCATTAAGTGTTAACTACTGGGTGGCGACCGTAAAAAAACTCACCCAATTCGTCATTTCTAGTATTTTTGAACTCATTTATTTCCAAAACAGTAGTTTTTTTTTCGGATAAAAATTTAATTATAACATATATATTTATCTTGGTTTTTATTTCAGAGTGTCCCAGCAAAGCAGTTGTTGGGTTGTACTTGTTTTCTAGTCGGGGCATATTTCTATATTACAAAGGTAGAGAATCCGGCCTATGTGATGGATACAATAGGGTCAATTATGTTATTCTGTTCTACAGTACTTCTTCTTACACCATTACTACCAGTGGTATGTTTTGTCTTATTCATGTATATTAGGCTTTTGTAACGTCGATTCTCATTGGACAATCGTGAGGGCTATGTATACACGGCAACTGTAAAGATATGAATAATTTTATGCCCCCGCTTCAAAGAAGAGGGGGTATATTGCTATGCATTTGTCGGTCCGTAGACCAAATGGTTTCCGAGTGATAACTAAAGAACCCTTAGGCCAAGGAACTTCAAACTTGGTATGGTGATTGGTCATGACCAGTAGATGACCCCTATTGATTTTGGGGTCAAGGGGTCAAAGGTCAAGGTCACATTGACCTTGTAGGTAAAAACAGTTTCCGATCAATAAATAACTAAAGAACAATTAGGCCTAGGAACTTCAAACTTGGTATGGTGATTGGTCATGACCAGTAGCTGACCTGTATTGAATTTGGGGTCTAGGTGTCAAAGGTCAAGGTCACATTGACCTTGTAGGTAAAAACGGTTTCCGATCAATAACTAAAGAACGCTTAGGCCTAGAAACTTCAAACTTGGTATGATGATTGGACATGACCAGCAGATGACCCCTATTGATTTTTGGGTCAAGGGGTCAAAGGTCAAGGTCACATTGACCTTGTAGGTAAAAACAGTTTCCGATCAATAACTACAGAACGCTTAGGCCTAGGAACTTCAAACTTGGTATTGTGATTTGTCACGACCAGCAGATGACCTCTATTAATTTTGGGGTCAAGGGGTCAAAGGTCAAGGTCACATTGACATTGTAGGTAAAAACGGTTTCCGATGAATAACTAAAGAACACTTAGGCCTAGGAACTTCAAACTTGGTATGGTGATTGGTCATGACCAGTAGATGACCGCTATTGATTTTGGGGTCAAGAGGTTAAACGTCAAGGTCACATTGACCTTGTAGGTAAAAACGGTTTCCGATCAATAACTAAAGAACGCTTAAGCCTAGGAACTTCAAACTTGGTATGGTGATTGGTCATGACCAGTAGATGACCCCTATTGATTTTGGGGTCAAGGTGTCAAAGGTCAAGGTCACATTGACCTTGTAGGTAAAAACGGTTTCCAATCAATAACTAAAGAACGCTTAGGCCTAGGAACTTCAAACTTAGTATGGTGATTGGTCATGACCAGTAGATGACCCCTATTGATTTTGGGGTCAAGGGGTCAAAGGTCAAGGTCACATTGACCTTGTAGGTAAAAACGGTTTCCGATCAATAACTAAAGAACGCTTTGGCCTAGGAACTTCAAACTTAGTATGGTGATTGGTCATGACCAGTAGATGACACCTATTATCTTTTGGGTCAAGGGGTCAAAGGTCAAGGTCACATTGACCTTGTAGGTAAAAACAGTTTCCGATCCATAACTAAAGAACACTTAGGCCTAGGAACTTCAAACTTGGTATGGTGATTGGTCATGACCAGTAGATGACCCCTATTGATTTTGGGGTCAAGGGGTCAAAGGTCAAGGTCACATTGACCTTGTAGGTAAAAACGGTTTCCGATCAATAACTAAAGAACGCTTAGGCCTAGGAACTTCAAACTTGGTATGGTGATTGGTCATGACCAGTAGATGACCCCTATTGATTTTAGGGTCAAGGGGTCAAAGGTCAAGGTCACATTGACCTTGTAGGTAAAAACGGTTTCCGATCAATTACTAAAGAACGCTTAGGCCTAGGAACTTCAAACTTGGTATGGTGATTGGTCATGACCAGTAGATGACCCCTATTGATTTTGGGGTCAAGGGGTCAAAGGTCAAGGTCACATTGACCTTGTATGTAAAAACAGTTTCCGATCAATAACTAAAGAACGCTTTGGCCTAGGACTTTCAATCTTGGTATGGTGATTGGTCATGACCAGTAGATGACCGCTATTGATTTTGGGGTCAAGGGGTCAAAGGTCAAGGTCACATTGACCTTGTAGGTAAAAACGGTTTCCGATCAATAACTAAAAAACGCTTAGGCCTAGGAACTTCAAACTTGGTATGGTGATTGGTCATGACCAGTAGATGATCCCTATTGATTTTGGGGTCAAGGGGTCAGTGTCAAATTGACCTTGTACTTTAAGATGGTTTCTGACCAATAACTCAACAACTCAAGTTGCCTTGGTTGATATTTTTATATTAAACTAAAAATGCTTTTGGTATACACATTTGAAGGTCTTATGTAATATAACAACTTGGCTGTCATGAATGAGGCCTTCATGATTTATAAAAATTATGCATATTTTTTAATGGTATGATTTGTAATAACTTAAATTGCTGCACACAACCCCTGGGGTCACAATAATTGTTACCTTGTGACTAGTCATGACCAGTAGATAACCTTATCAATTTTTTGTTCACTGGGTCAGAAGTCATGCATAATAACCTGATCACATGACTAATTGGCTGCCCATTGGGGGCATACATGTTTTACAAACATATCTTGTTTTATTTAAATTTTCATCCCAAGGAAACATTTTGGACAATTTATATTGCCGAATATAACAGTTACACTGGGCACAATGATTAAGTTATATGGCTGTATATAACCATTTACAATGAACCATATAACAGTGTTTATAATCATTAGTTGAACTCAAAGCGTATAAGCAAGAACATTTAATGGTTCTGTATAACATTTAGCAAACAGGCAGTGTCTCAAAACAGTGATGTTGTTGGGTATTTCTTATCACACCCAAATAAGAACAAACAACTATTTTAACTGTCATTGTTATTCTGATATTTGACAATGCAAAGGACACGGCTTATCTTTGAGGTAATGTCGGGAGAAACGGATGGCTAGTGGCTCGTAAATTTACCTTTGCAGCAAATAACGAGAAAAGGGATGGCAAATAGACAATTAATTTACCGGAAGTTGATATAAAAACAAGCACACTACGTCCGAAAAATCTGACATATGATTAATATGGCAGCATGCAGTATTTTATTTTTATCTTATTTATGCCTAAATTTATTCGTTTTGTTTAGAAACAATGTATACAGAACAAGAACGCTGACAGTTTGACTTTGACAATGATGATACCTGGAACGCTGTGTAGTGGCGCATGGGCAACATACGGGTTTCTTCTCAAAGATTTCTATATTTATGTAAGTTTAGATCACGTTTTCCGTAATCTTTGACCTTCCTGTACTTGCTGTTATTTATTGTTAGCAAGAAAATCATGTGATCATATACATTGATCTGCAGGTTACCGTGAGGAGGAACTAGTACGACATAAAACATCTACTGGAAATATTTTAGGACTTCTGATATGACTTTATTATGATATTTCGCCCTGCCTGGACGCAGGCATGGTTTAACTCGTAGCCTTTTGGCAGCAACTGATTCTACCGTTGCGACCAGTACAGACCAAGATCAAAATCTGCACTGTTTGCTTTTCAATCAGTACATATTTGAGACATTTTTCATGAAAAGCGATAAATTGTGTTTCAAGATTTTAAAATAGATAAATCAGGTTAAGATATTTAGCGTTGTAAGGGTTAAAGAGTTATGTCAATAACTCATATGACGTAAGTCATATGACGTGGATCTATGCATTTTTTCTTTCAAAAATTAAGCCAGGCTGTTTTCATCCGAAATGGTTAAGTAAGAAGTCAGTCTTGATTGACATATCGTCATTTTAGGGCATTAAAAGGTTAACTTCTTATATAAAATAATAGCAGTTAACCCGTTAGTGCACTGAGCTAACAATAAGTCACTGTGCCTGTGAGTTTCTGGCTAGGTTTCCTTCTAAATAGATCGATTTTTGAAACTTTCCCGCTATATGTTAAATTTTGTCTGTAAATTTGCGAATAGGTCCTGCAGCATCTTTTGTGTAATTACCTACTTAGGGAAATCTACGTAAACCACTTGTTAAGGACTTGAGCCACTCTGAGCTAACTGTCGGTGTTACTAACCTACTTAGAAAACCTTAAGAATACCTCTTGTATATTTAGGCTCTTCTTAACTTTTTTACGAGTCTACTTTATATTTATGTACCAACAATTAATGTTTGATAGAGTTATATTTGTTATCTATTGTGAAGATGAAGATTCATATTAATTGAAAGCTACCATTCTATATTTGAGCCGCGTCACGACAAAACCAAAATAGTGCGTTTGCGACCAGCATGGATCCAGACCAGCCTGCGCATCCGCGCAGTCTGATCAGTATCCATGCTGTTCACTATCAGTTTCTCTACTTGTAAAAGGGTTGGTAAGCGAACATCATGGATCCTGATCAGATTGCGCGGATGCGCAGGCTTGTCTGGATCCATGCTGGTCGCAAACCCATTATGTTGGTTTTTTTCGTGACTCGGCTCATTTCTATTTACCAATTTTTTATATAACTGGACCACTGCGCATGCCATAATTTCAAATTTTTGATTCTGTATTAAAGCCCTGGCCCGGTGTTCACAAAGATTTAAGAATCCAATATTCTTCATTTTTTATCCTCGTAGATGAAATATCTAATATTAATTTGATTAAACTGGACTTGCAATAGCAAATTAATGAAATTTTAGAATCAATTTATTGTTATTTTTACAAGATACGGCCATTTTTCAGTTGATCAAAATATTGATCCTGATCCTAAAATTGATCCTTATTTTCATCCGAATTTTTATGTATTTGTTCTGTTATTTGTTGATTTTATCCCAAAATAGTTTGATTTCTTTTCAAATCAGCAATTTTTTACTTTTTGAATATTTACTATTTAATTCTAGCAAAACACAATAAATTTAAGTAACATAAAACAATAAAAATAAAATCAGGATCACTTGATCCTGATACTGATATTTTCTTTGTGAACACGGGGCCTGAGTTCTTGCAGTCGTAATGGCAGATTTGTGACAGCATTGGAACGCCAGATAATCCTGCACTTCGTATTCTCTTTCACAAACGCTGCTAAATTTTAGTATTTTATTACGACACTCCTGAAAAGTGCAATGAGAAGTCCCTTATTCGCATCAGGACAATTCATTTTTGCACAATAGGGGAAGTTAGTGTTTAACATTGAAATAAATGTTGATTTTTTACAATTATGTATTGATTTATGGCAATTTAAGGATTTACTTTATATAAATTATTCAAAATTTATCATATGGCAATAATTCAAGCAATTGCCAGGTGGCAATAATTCAAAGATTTAACATATGGAAATAATTCGTTGATTTATGGCAATAATTCGTGAACTGATGCCAATTAAACCGGAATATTCACTTGTAAAGAAGGTAATTTAGATATTTATATCAACATATAAAGTTATTCATTTTCTAGACTTTTCATTAAATGATCCGTTATATAAGTAAGTATTTTGGGGTGATTAATTTAAATGTATTACTATGAAACGTTTAAGATTGACAACAATTAACAGTTAGTTTGCAATAAATCTTAAGTTTAATGAATTAGGTTTTCGCATAATGAATTGACAATCTTCACATTATTTGTTAAATTAAGAGAGTTGCACTCCCACGCAAATAAAACTTCTTAATCTATCAATCACAATATAAAAGATTTCCTTAACCAAGTTCAAATGAACCAAAATACAGTTCTTTGGCGGAAGCAGTAGATGCATTTGTTAGATCATAACGTAAATTTTCAGCTAATGAAGTTGCTGGAGTAAATTTAGAACTTACTGCACTTAATTGTTAACTTAATATTTTTAATACATGTTTTATTCTATTTTTTTATTATGCCCCCGGGCATATAGTAATTTTACCGTCCGTCTGTCTGTCCGTCCGTCCGTCTGTCCGTACGAGGTTAACCTAGAACGGCAAGTTGGATTTTTCTTCCTGTACCAATGGCTTCTTTGTTTACACACTTACTAATCAATACAAAGTACATGATCTGGTCAAGTTACATAACTATGGCTCCCATATTTACCAAGTTATTGCCCTTTTCAGCACTTAAAAAATGAATAATGGTTAACCTTAAACGGCAAGTTGGAAATATCTTAAGTTCTATCTATACTAATGGCTTCATAATTTCCACACTTACTTATCAATACAAAGTACATGATATTGCCAAGTTATATAACTGTGTCATCCATATTTCCCAGTTATTTCCCTTTTTATCCCCCGCCGCCTTTTCGGACTATAGTAATAGTCTCCGTCCGTCCGTCCGACCTTCCGTCCGTCCGTCCTTCCGTCCGACATTTTTGTCCGGAGCATATCTCTAAATGTATTTGAGTTATCAACTTGAAACTTCATAGGTGGATAGTGCAGTGCACAATAATGATAACTCTACCCTGCATAATTTTTGAGTTATTGCCCTTTGTTTTTTTTCAAAATTGATTTTTGTCCAGAGCATAACTCAAAAAGCCTATGAGATATCAACATGAAACTACATAGGTGCATAGATCTCACTCAGGAGGTGTGCAGTGCACAAGAATGATAACTCTACCTTTCATAATTTTTGAGTTATTGCCCTTTGTTATTTTTCGTACTTAATTTTTCACCTGAGTGGAGCATAACTCAAAAAATGTTTGAGATATCAACATGAAATGTCATAGGTGGATAGATCTTATTGAGGAGGAATGCTGTGCGCAAGAATGATAACTCTTCCCTATACAATTTTTTGAGTAATTGCCCTTTGTTCTTTTTCATGCTATTTTTGTCCTGAGCTTATCTCAAAAAGTATTTGAGGTATCAACTTGAAACTTCATAGCTGGATGGATCTCATTGAGGAGGAGTGCAGTGCACAAGAATGATAACTTTACCCTGCATATTTTTTTAGTTATTGCCCTTTGTTATTTTTCAAAATTAATTTTTGTCCAGAGCATAACTCAAAAAGCCTTTGAGATATCAACATGGAGCTTCATATGTGCATAGATCTCACTCAGGAGGTGTGCAGTGCACAAGAATGATAACTCTACCTTTCATAATTTTTGAATTATTGCCCTTTGTTATTTTTCATACCTAATTTTTCACCCGAGTGGAGCATAACTCAAAAGTGTTTGAGATGTCAACATGAAATGTCATAGGTGGATAGATATTATTGAGGAGGAATGCTGTGCACAAGAATGATAACTCTTCCCTATACAATTTTTGAGTTATTCCTCTTTGTTCTTTTTCATAATATTTTGTCCGGAGCTTATCGCAAAAAGTATTTGAGGTATCAACTTGAAACTTCATAGCTGGATGGATCTCATTGAGGAGGAGTGCAGTGCACAAGAACGATAACTCTACCCATAATTGTTTAGTTATTGCCCTTTGTTATTTTTCAAAATTAATTTTTGTCCAGAGCATAACTCAAAAGGCCTTTGAGATATCATTATGAAACTTCATAGGTGCATAGATCTAACTCAGGAAGTGTGCATTGCACAAGAATGATAACTCTACCTTTTATAATTTTTGAGTTATTGCCCTTTGTTATTTTTCATACTTAATTTTTCAATTCAATTTTTTTTCTTAAAAGTATTTGAGGTATCAACTTGAAACTTCATAGGTGGATAGATTTTACTAAGGAGGGATGCAGCACACAAGAATGATAACCTACCCTGCATTATTTTTCAGTTATTGCCCTTTGTTATTTTCAGCCATCAGTATTCACATAGGTTTCAAATCTGTAATCACTATAGCCATCAGTTTTCATTACCAAAAGACCTCTTAAAATGGAGTTATTCTGCTCTACTACATATACATTCTTCCAATGAGCAAACACATTCGGCGGGGGATGGCCATGTTGACATGGCTCTTGTTTCACTTTAAAAATAGGGCCTTGTCTGGTTAACCTATTCCGGCAAGTTGGATTTATCGTAAATTTCTCTTAACTGTTTAATTTATTTAATGATATTTTGCATATTTGGTAGGTGGATACCTTTAATGGTCCGAGTAAGTGGTCTCTAAGGTCAAGGTCACTGGTTTAGAAAATAGATTTAAACATTTTTGCTCATACAACCTTTATTTTTTGGTTGATGTCTTTCATGTTTAATACAAACATGCCAAGGTAGGTCCTCCTTCTTTGGGTATAGTAAGGGGTCATTTGGGTCAAGGTCAATGTCACCAATGTCAAGGTCACCAATGTTAAAAATAGATTTTTACATTTTTACAGGTTTATTAACCATATTCTATAGACAGATGACATTTATAATTGATAGGAACATAAAATTTGATGGAGTTAGTGGTCAGTTGGGTCAAGGTCACCAGTGCTAAAATATATTTTTACACTTTTGCTCATACAGCCTTTGTTTATTTACAGATATATTTCATATTTCGTAGGTAGATAACTTACATTTTATTCATCCTTTTGATTGGGGTAGGGATCAGTGGGTCAAGGTCACTTGTGCTAAAATTAGATTTTTACACTTTTGCTCATACAGCCTTTATTTATTGACAGATATATTTTATATTTGGTAGGAAGATAACTTGCATGGTATTCATCCTTTTGATTTGGGTAGGGATCAGTGGGTCAAGGTCACTTGTGCTAAAAATAGATTTTTACACTTTTGCCCATACAGGCTTTTTTTATTGACAGGTGTATTTCATATTTGATAGGAAGATAATTTACATGTTATTCTTCCTTTTGATTGAGTTAGGGATCAGTGTGTCAAGGTCACTAGTGCTAAAAATAGATTTTTACACTTTTGCCCATACAGCCTTTATTTATTGACAGATATATTTCATATTTGGTAGGAAGATAACTTGCATGTTATTCTTACTTTGGATGGAGTTTGGGGTCAGTTGGGTCAAGGTCCAAAGTGCTAAAAATATATTTTTACACTTTTGCCCATACAGCCTTTATTTATTGACAGATTTATTTTATATTTGATTGGAAGATAACTTGCATGGTATTCTTCCTTTGGATGGAGTTAGGGGTCAGTTTGATCAAGGTCATCAATGCTCAAAATAGATTTTAACATTTTTGCCCATACAGCCTTTATATATTGACAGGTGTATTTCATATTTGGTAGGAAGATAACTTGCATGATATTCTATAGGTGTCAGTGGGTCATGGTCAAGGGTGCCAAGTATAGATTTCCTACATTTATATATATTTGATAAAGTTGAATATTAATCCCTTCACAAGTCATAGCAATGACTTGGCAACTTATATATTTCACAATTACAAACTGCCATGACTCTGTCAAGCTATATAACTTGTGTTTACAATTTTTTGGCAATGTTTCTGTCCATAACTGAGTGAATGGGTAAACATTTTTTTGAAATATTGCTACTGACAAGAATCGGAGCCGGGGGCATTTGTGTTTAACAAACACGTTCTTGTTTTTTTCTTATTTTAAGTTGTTTAACATTGATAGGTATGTAATCATTACGCCATGACTTATACTCTTAACATCATAACTACCAAGAAATTTAACAATTACTCATGATAAAAGGTTTGAACGTAAGAGTAAAAATCCACAAGAGTCTGTCAAAAATAAGACAACCTTGTCATAATTAGTAATGGCGCTTGCCTAAGTCTTAGTTTTAGGCTTTAAATTGAAGTATTCTGAACAACCCGCCGATTACCAATAATCATTTCGGAAATAACAATGATTGAAAAACGTTTATCCACGTGGCTTATGACGTCAAGAAACCAAGCGGGTGCTGAAAACCAATTACGGTCTTAATGAGTTTTAATGCCGACAACAATCATGGAATGAAATGTCTACTATTTTAAAGCTGAAAAACCTCACCTTGTGTAAAATATGTCAACAAGTAAACAAATTTGCTAATGAATACTTAACCTAACCAGTACCTTATGTAAAATATGTGATCAAGTAAATAAATTTGCTGATTTAATAAGCATTCAATAATTATTACTGATTACAAAATGTGTACTTGGGGACTTGGGGTGTAACAGTGACACGCAGTTCACATACTTACATTTTAACATTTCTCATCTTTAATTCTATGACAGGTTGAATAGATCATATTGATACTTACAATAATTGTTTTTAACCTGTGACCTCGTTGTTATCAGTTAAACTGCGTAAGAAATTATGTCGATTCAAATTGCACTACATTATACTATAATGTGTCTATTTATTTTAATCCAATTAGAAACGTCTATAGAAAACTACTACGTTGACAATTGTATGGCTTAATATGGCTTGTTTTCAGGCAAGGCTCATTAAAAAAAAAGTGATGTATCACGTCCGGGTTGGATGTTCAAAATGTCGGTCGAACTTTTTAGGATTTTCTGTTGACATGTTGAGATTTATCACCTCATTTCCCACTAGCACAACCTTATACCACTTTATTTTACTACAGGTTGACGTGAGTGTTTCTGTTACCTTTTAATTCTGTAAATTACATAACAGTAAATGCAAATGAATTGTCTGTAACGATTTTTTCATTGGTATAATGCGTTCATTGTGTTATTTTTTACACCGTGATAATCGCTAAGAATTTACACGTAAGCTTGTTTTTTCGTTAAAACCCGTCAAAATTGATCTGGAACATGTAACCTTGAAAATTATTGACTGCATTTTTAATGCAAACACTTGATATATTATTTCATATTGAATATGAAAATGAGTTATTTATGTATACTCTTTTTTCCAAATGAAAAGTGTGTTGCTCATTTTTTGTCTGTAAACTTTATAATCGCTTACAGACCACATTTTTCACCTTTCATAATTATGATAGTTCTTACAGGAACACCTGTGAAAAATTGTAGTTCTTACAGAACACCGGTTACAAAATGATTGTTCTTACGGGAACACCGGCTACAATATAATTGATTTTGGTAGATTTTACACCGGTTACATTTCAATGTCATCGTCTTTATAACTCAAGATCATTTATATTTCCAGGGCCCAAACATTCTTGGCGTGTCATCATACGTCTGTCAGGCTATTGCTATGCTGGTCTATGGCGGTGGCAAAAAGAAAACTCAACACTTGGAATGAAGTCAGTGTTAGCGAAACGTCCTGCTGTGAAAGCCGTAGAATCTTTATAGCTTGATTTTTTAACTCTCGGTTACGAAGTGCTTCCGAAATCCACTGTTACTTTGACACTGCCTTGCCTGATAATAAAACATATACATATATATGCAGCAATGGTCTTGATTTTGTTTTTTGTGTCTGACTAAATTTGCCAAGGTTTAAATGTCTGACTACTAGTAAATTTGCCAAGGTAAATATACCTGACTAAATTTGCCAAGGTAAAATGTCCTTTGAATACAATTCTTTCCGAATTTATATGGCAGTTAATTTATGTGAAATTCCATATATTCACTCCACGAAAGTCATATATAGAGCATGCTTGTTGAATTAAAATTTGAGGTAATTTGTGATTTGCCAAACGAGTTTTATGTCTTATCGTATATCTCTTATTTCAACAACGAATGACATTGTAAAGCTGTTTAACAAACCATTTTTTTTATAATTACAAGTACATACGAAACAATTACCATTGCTGTTTATTTCTGAACGATATTTTATTTAACAATGACATATTTATTCTTTTTTCTAAACATGTTTGCATTGACCAGACGTAACACTTTGTCGTAAAATTTCATTATATTTATTTAGCGGACAGAAACTCGTGCTGGCAAATAAATGCAAGGTAATTTGTAATTTTGTAGACCATTTGACATATAAGATAAAATAAGAAGATGAGCAAACATTTTTTTTTTCAAAATGAGTTATATGTACAATTTGCATCGATTTGCAACAAGTACATTGTAAACTGTGTTAATGTGTTATTTGAACTTAAAGTGAATAAAGCTATATATGGTTAACAAAAAATTATTAAAATCTTGAAACAGTGAAATGAAGTTGTTTGTATAACATTAGGGTCATATCAATGAGAAGTTCCTTTCCCACACCAGATGAACTCCTTTTGCAAAAAAGTTAATGTTAAAGTTGACTTTATGACAATAATTTATTTGTGGCAATACATTAATAAAGATTTATCATACGGCAATAATTCAAGGAATTGTCATATGACAATAAATGATAATTGATTTATGGCAATATTCATTGATTTATGACAATAATTCATTGACTTATGGCAAATATTCCAGGATAGGATTAATATATGGAAATAATTCTTTATTTATGGCAATAACTTTGAACTGATTCCCCATTAAATCCGGAATGTTGTAAAGTTGGGAATTTAAGAGATCATCAACATATAAAGTTATTCATTTTCTAGATTTTTCATTTAATGATCCGTTATATAACTATTTCAAGTTCTTTTGGGGTGATTAATTTAACTAATGTATTACTATGAAACGTTTTAGATTGACAACAATTAAAAGTTATTTTACAATAAATCTGTAGTTTAATAAATTACTTACAAGTTCTCGCATAATGAATCGACAATATTCACATTATTTATTATATTTAGAGAGATGCACTCCCACACAAATAATAAAAATTTCTTGATCTATCAATCACAATGTAAAAGATTTCATGAAGCAAGTTCGCTTTTTAATGCAAAGTTGAACACTTAATACATTTCTATGACGTAAGAAGTAGACGCATCCTTTAAAAATAAACAATTGTTAGATCATAACGTAAATTTTCAGCCAATGAAGTTGCTGGTGTGAATTTTAAAACTTTTACTGCACTAAATTGTCAAATATTTTTGATATATGTTTTATTCTATTTTTATTATTAACATTATCCGCCTTCTACTATTACCGTTTTTGAGCATTTATGTTGAATGTGAGAAGTAACTTCATGTAGCATTTCAGCCAATGGAAACGTACATTATTTTTATATTAAATAAAATTACATTTATTGATTAAAAAAGATGCTTGCTCGCTCGCTCGCCTAATATTTTATGATTATAATATTACGACATGTGAGATAAAAAGGGAACAGTCTTTTTCCTGGAATTGCTAGATATCGTGATCATTACGAAGTATTAAAATATTGACAGCAATTTCAGTCCTTTTCCTAGATATTTTGGGAAAAAATACATTGCCCAGTTCGAGAAATTTGGCGTTGTAAAATTGCTTACTTGTGAAAATACTCTGATACCTTTTTAAACCTTCTTCAAGTTCTTTTGGCATATTATTTTGAATTGTCCAAAAGCAGCTGTCTGATACCACACTGGTTTGAACTCAACTTTTTCAGTTTTAATATCGAGAATATCAATTCATTTGAGTTGTTTTTAGAGATTGGGAAAAATTAGCGTATTTGCCACTGGGAAGGTAATCTGATAGAGGTGACACTGGGCAAAGGCATGTTATTTTCTGTCTTAATCGAGTGATGGAATGATGCCCGCGAAACCTGTCCCACTCGACGTGGCATAGTCACAGTGAATATGAATTTCACAGTCAATCGCTGAAGATATATTTTGTGGGTGAGGGTGTTTTGGATATTTTGCGATTAATTTTGTGTGGATTGGGAAGGAAGGGGCATTCAAAATGAAATATAAAAAGGTTAAGTCTTCTAGAATGGCTGTAGGAAATGAGTTTACGACAGAGGCATAAAACACCTGAAGGATGTTTGCTTTCGCGTAGAAGGAATCTTATTTCTTTTTAATGTTAGATTTTATATCTTAAAGATCATACACGTCTTGTGGGCAATAAAGAATTGTCGGCCGTACTGCGTAACTAACAGCTCGAATCGAAGTGTGTTGATTTCTTCTTCTGTTGTTGTTTTGTGTATGTATGTGTTTTTCTTTTCAACTGTACCAGGACTCCAACTGTTTACCGAAGAAGCTGTAGTTAAAACATTTTCAATAATTTTTTATTGGTTTGTCAATTTATTCATCATGATTTGTACTATTCATTTCCCTCTACCGTTTTAATGTACTATGGACGATAGACAACTGTGCATTTGCTTATGCATGACCGCAATCAATTTCCTATCATTTAAGAGTCACTTGTAAAATATTTTATGAATAATTCTTGGTTGATTGAATGCAAACCACATTACTGAGATTTTATTAATCTCAAATTGTACTTTTAGAAACTTGTAATTTAGCGCAATTTCAATAATAAATTGGTGAGTGGCGGCCATATTTGGGCGTTTTTTTAAACGGAATTATATCTTCATTTTAAAATTGTTCCTAAATATCATTACAACGAAATACCATTGGGGACGGGACTGAAATTCCTATGGACAATGCTGACATTGTTATAGACAGTTGTAATTGTATTAATTTACATTTAAGTGTCAAGAATAAGACTAAAAAGAGTCGTTAACAATGTAACAATATTGTCGTTTATATATGCATTAATCATTAAAAACTTAAATTAAGTATGTGTCAATGATAAATGGTAGGAGTTTAATGACAGGCAAAGTGTCGATTACTTAACCAAATATTTGACTTAATGTGATAGAGGTTTATGTATACATATGTATAGTTTTGTTTAACTTATTTTAAGTTGTTTAACATTGATCGTTATCTTATCATTACGCCATGAATTACAAGAAATGTATCAGTTCCTCATGATAAAAGAGCTTAAAAGTAAAAGAGTAAAGATCCACAATAGCGTGTCAAAAAGTAGAGAGCCTTGGTCAAAGTTATGTAATTGTGCTTGCCTAAGTTTTGGTTTTAGGGTTTAAATTGCAGTATTCTGAACACCCCGCCGATTTCCAGAAATCATCTAGGAAATAACAAGGAGTGAAAGAAAATAGTTCTACCACTTGGCTTATGATTTAAACAAACCTAGCGGGTGCTGAGAATCAATTACGAGCTAAATGAGTTTTAATGCTGACAACAAGCAGGAAATGAAATGTGTATTTTTTTAAGTTGAAAAACCTTACCTTGTGTAAAATATGTGATCAAGAAAAAACAAATTTGCTGATAAATACTTAACATTACCAGTACTTTATGTACCATATGTGATCAAGTAAATAAATTTGCTGATGCAATTAGCATTCAATAATTATTACTGATTAAAAAATGTGTACTTGGGGACTTGGGGTGTAACAGTGACACGCAGTTCACATACTTACATTTTAAAATTTCTTATCTTTAATTCTATGACAGGTTGAATCGATCATATTGATACTTTAAACTGTGACCTCGTTATTCTCCGTTAAACTGACGGTAGACAACTGTGCATTTGCTTATGCATTAATTGGTTAATGTTAATTCGAATTGTACTAAAACTATAATTAGAACTTTGTGACTGGTTTGCGTCTATTTATTTTTATCCAATTAGAAACGTCTTATTAAGCTCCTACGTTTCAGTATATAGTGACAATTGTATGGCGTAATATGGCTTGTTTTCAGCAAGGTTCATGAAAAAAGTGATGTATCACGTCCCGGGTTGGATGTATAAAATATCGGTCGAATTTATTTTGGATTTTCTGATGACATTTTGAGATTTATCACCTCATTTCCCACTAGCACAACCTTATACCACTTTATTTTACTACAGGTTGTCTGTTACCTTTTAATTGTGCAAATTACTCAACAGTTAATGCAAATAAAATGCCTGTAAAGTATATTTTTTCCTTGGTATAATGCGTTCATTGTGTTATTTTTTGTGCCGTGATAGTCGTTTATAAGAACTTGCACGTAAGCTTGTAATTTCTTTACAACTCCGAACTCGGAAGAACTAATCTGGAACATGTTAACTAGAATTATTATTTACTGCAGTTCTTTAAATGCAAACATTGGCTTTATCATTTATTATTGAATATAAAATGCCAAATTCATGTACATTCATTTTTTTCCAAATGAAAACAATTGTTGCACACTCTCTGTATTTAAACATTATTATCGCTTACAGACAACATTGTTCACCTTTCATATGATAGTTCTTACAGAACACCGGTAACAAGATGATTTTTCTTACGGGAACACCGGCTTCAAGATGATATATTTTACACCGGCTGTATTGCAAAGTCATCATGTGTACTCAAGATCATTTATTTTTTTCAGAGCCCAAACATTCTTGGTGTGTCGTCATACATCTGTCAGGCTATTGCTATGCTGGTCTATGGAGGTGGCAAAAAGAAAACACAACACTTGGAATGAATTCATTGTTAGCGAAACGTCCTGCTGTGAAAGCCGAAAATATTTATAACTTATTGGTTACGAAGTGCGTCCGAAATCCATTGTTACTATGACACTGCCTTGCTT